ATGGTCTCTTTAGTTTGACCTCTGTCTGAAAGCTATACTCTTTAACTCCCCTCCTCCCTCATTTTATGTTTTTCATATCATATCTAACCTCTTTTTTGTGCATTTGCACCCATTATCCTCTTATCATGGAAAAAGATAATTTTTCCTATTTGTGGTCTTCTCTTTTCCCCTTAAATCAGTCCCTTTAACATTTCTTGTAGCACTGGTTTCTTGATGACAACCTCCTTTAATTTTTGCTTGTCTGGGAAATTTTTGATCTCTCCTTCCATTTTGAATCATAACCTTGCTGGGTTGAGTATTATTGGTTGAAAGTTTTTTCCTTTTAGCTCTTTAAATATATCGTGCCACTCTCTTCTAGCTTGTAAGGTTTCTGCTGAGAAGTCAGCTGATAGCCTTATGGAGTTTCCTTTGTTTGTAACTTGTCTTTCTCTTGCGGCTTTTAGGATTCTCTCTTTATCTCTAATTCTGGACATTTTGATTATGATGTGTCTTGGTGTGGGCCTCTTTGGGTTTATCTTGTTTGAGGATCTCTGTGCTTCCTGTACCTGGATGTCTGTTTCTTTCCTTCGGTTAGGGAAGTTTTCATCTGTTATTTCTTGAAATAGATTCTCTGCCCCTCTGTCTCACTCTTCTCTTTCCGGGACACTTATACCACGGATGTTAGTGCACTTGATGTTGTCCCAGATGTCCCTTAGACTGTCCTCACCCTTTTTAATTCTTTTCTCCTTTACCTGTTCAGCTTGGGTAATTTCTTCTAGTCTTTCGTCCATCTCGCAGATCCGTTCTTCTGTATCCTCTACTTTTTTTGAGTCCCTCTAGTGAATTTTTCATTTCCAGTATTGTATTCTTCATTTCTCATTTGTTCTTCTTTATATCTTCCATTTCTTTGTTGACATTCTCGTCAAGTTCATCTATTATTCTCCCCAGATCAGTGAGCATCCTTACACTCTTTGTTTGAACTCTCTGTAGGGTAGGTTGCTCATTTATGTTACACTTAGTTCCTTTTCTGGGGTTTTGTCCTGTTCTCTTACTTGGAATGTATTCCTTAGCCCCCTCATTTTGCCTCTTTCCCTGTGCTTGTGTCTATGTATTAGGTAGGTTAGCTATGTCTCCTGCTCTTGCATAGGTGACCTTATATAAGTGATGCCTTAGGAGGCCTGCAGTGTACTTCCCTCAGTTCTCAATGTTCCAGTGGTGATCCCTATGTGGGCTACGTGTTCCTTCTGTTGTGGCCTGTTTGCTCTCCCTGTGGGCGCCCAGGGAGGCCGAGTTATGCTCCTGGCCAGCTGCTGTTATGCTCAGCCACTTGTAGTTGTTGTTGTCCCTTCAGTCTCTTTATCAGGTGTGGGGAGCCCCAGCACAGTTGGCTGCAAGTTCTAATACCACATTTGTCTTGCTGTATCTTTTAAGTGAGTAGGGCCCCAGCCTGGCTGTTGTTAGGCTCAGGGGCTTACAATTGCTATAGGCTTCCAGCCTTTAAGTCTCTTGTCAGCTCTCTGAGGATTGCAGCTGTGTGGGGCTGGCCTCAGGCATGGGAGCACCCAATTGTTTCAGGCTTTGGAAGGTGCGGCAAACCCCCTATGTTGGTCTTTGAGAAGCACAAGTCTTCTGCAGCTGACAAGCCCTGTCGCCCACAGGTCCACACACACAGTCAACTCAGTCCTGTCCCATGTGCGTGCCCCGAACTCCTGCAGTGGACCTAGTCTCTCCACCGCGGAGCCCCACACACTCCACCACCGCCCCACACTCTCCACCTGCTTCTTGTGCACGCCCTGCCCCACTGAAGTGGGCTCAGTTACCAGGCTGCAGAGAATCCAGTCACCAATCTATGCAGGCCCACAAGTTTCGTGAGGGCTTGTTGTTGGGTGGGGCCAGTCTCTAGGGTGGGCTGCCTGCCCTGGGTGAGCTAGATTAAATCGGTGCTCTAGTGGGTGTGGCAGACCTGGGCTAGCAGGCCCCAGGGAGAACTCCAATGGTGTCTGTGTCAGCACGCCCACACCAGGCCACAACAATGACCGCCACCAATGTCCCAGTCCCTAGACAGGTCTCACCTCTCACTGCAATGCACTCAGAACCTATGAGGTGAGTCTCTTTTCACCAAAACACTGTGCACCCTTCTTTTCGGTGATTTTAGGTTGCTTTCTGAACCGGGCGAGTTTGTGTGTGGGCCCTTTAAGGGCCGGTTTTAATTTCTTTGTGAACCAACTTTTCTGGGGGGTACTCACCAATGTTTTAGTAGCAGGTAAAGTCAGATATTATGTCACTCATCTCGATTGTGCTCAGTCCACAAAATGCCCACAGCGGGAGCACTCCCCGGCTCAGAGCCCCACTCCTCCAGGGAGGGCTGTGTACCTTTGGGCTGTTCCCAGGCAGCCATGAAGCTGGTGGCTTGTGAAGGTGGTGTTTTTTCTCTCCAGAAGTTAATTTCTGCCTCTTCCACCTTGATTAAGATTGTTCTTTGTTGCAGGAGTTCCTCTTATCCAGCTTTCAGTTCTGTCTCAGGGACAATTTTTCCACGAGTAGTTGTTAATTGGCTTTGTCCATGGGAGGAGGTGAGTTCAGAGTCTGCTTACACTGCCATCTTGACTTTGAGCCAGATTTTTTTTAAAAGAACAAAAATTTCATATGTTTAATGGAATTCCCTTTTTGATCCTCTCCCTATCCCCCAGAGGCAACCACTATCATAAAATTGTATGTATCTTGTTGGTAGGCTATGCTACAGTAACTAAGCCCCAAATCTCAGTGACAATACAATAAAAAGTTTATTTTTCACTATGCACAGACTTTCCTCCATCTTGTGGCTATACCATGTAGAGCATGTGGCTTCCAGGTTGATAAGACAGTCGAGGCAATGGAGGAGACACACTACCTCTTAACTACTTCAATCTGCAAGTGACACACATTACTTCCACTCACAGTCCATTGCCCAGATGTACTCTTGATGGCCTTACTACAAGGATGTATTGGAAATGCAGGGAAGTATGTGAATAATTGGTGACCATTATGACTGCCATACTCTCCACCTATGTTTTAATACTAGTATTCTTTTGCAGTATATGTATATATTCATAGGCAATATATGCTATTATTTATTCTTTTATATAAATATCAAGCTATGTACTCTCTCCAGTTTGTTTTTCCCCTCTGGATTATTTATATTGATCCATACGTGTCTTTTAAGTGCTATATTATAATATTACATCATAGGATAATATCATGACTTATTTATCTTGTGCCCTATTGATGAACATCTTAGTTTGTTTCCATTTTCTAGGTTATATAACTAGTAGTAACATGGAAAGATCATAGGATATATGCATCTTCAAATAATTGTACTAATTTATATGGCAGTATATGAGTTCCTCCACTTTGTTCTTTATACTTTTGCCTGCTGCACAAAGAAATAAAACCAGCTTAGCAGTCCTAATTGAGGAAGGCCCTAGGGAGAGGGCGATGTCCTAAAGAAGTCCAGGCCCAGTGTCAGGGTGACTATTGACTGCCCCTACTGACTGACTTCCCCCACTTTCTTGTCTCACAGGTGCCTTCCAGTTGAGCTTAGTGAAGGCAGATATACCCACAGTGACCCCTCAGGAGGCCACACTTGTTGCACTGGTGAGCAGTCTGCTACTGGTGTTTACCCTGGCCTTCCTGGGGGTCTTCTTCCTCTACTGTAAGCAGTTCTTCAACAGACACTGCCAGCGTGGTAAGGATAGCTGCTTCACGTATTACATGAATCAGGAGCAAGGATCTAATTAGCAGCAGAGAGGAATTTTCTGGGGTTGAGAGATAATGGGCCTTCCCCACAGTGCTGAAAAATCCCAAGGGTGGACTATTTGTGGGTGGCAATAGAAAGCACTGGACTTCAGAGATGACCAAGGCAGAACCTGTGAGTTTATGGGACCTGGTTCATTAATGTACAGGGGTTCATAAAGGAACACAACATCATGGGAAAACCCTTGGGAAAGGAATCTGGAGACCTAGGTTCTAAATCTACCTCTAAATCACTGTGTAGCTTTAGACAAGTCATCTAGTTTCTTTGGGCCTCTAGCTCCCTAATCTTTAAAATGAGATATGGAGTTGAACTAGTTGGTTTCTTAGTTCTTTTCCAATTCTTCATTTCTACTAATAGGTATAAATTCTGGAAGGTGTCAAGAATAGAGGAAAGCTGGCTGTATTTGAGACATGACTATAATAAAATTAGGTGAGGTCTTAGGCAACTGTTCTCAGTATGGTAATGTCCCAAATGTGGGTAACTGAGAGGCCAGCATCTACCGGAGTTGGCAAACCTAGACTTTTTTCCACAGACAATGATGATACCCAAAGAGACCTGGCCCAGCCCATAGGAGATGGCCATGTGAAATTTCAGATGGAAGGTCATATTTAAAATCAGGACTAACATTGTGATCTGTTTTCAGTACAACTCCAGCCATTAGCCAAGAATATGGAACAGAAAGTCCAGGTCACTGAGGGCAAAGATGGGGGAGGTGGGATGGTGGTTGGCCAGGACTAGGCAAGGGGTATAACTCTAGCCAAGAGTACTGAGGCTCAGTGCAGCTTCAGTGCAGTGAAGGGAACTGAGAGCTAGGAAGAGACATCAAAACAGGAACCCAGACTAGTGAATGGCATTAATTTAATAAAGAAGGGGGAGGACAAAGTTTACTAGAGACATGGGTGCTCAGGACTCTTCCTCAGCCCAGTGGATTCTGGGCCCAAAGCAACACAACTATTTTTAACCTCTATTTGTGTGGGAAGATCCTTCTAATATAGATCTGTCTTGGTCAGTTTGGCTCTAGGGTCTGCAAGATGATCTTCAAAACGCCTAGCAGATGTGTTTGGCCATACTTCTGGCTTAAGCAGAGGTTAATCTAGCATTTCATGGGCTGCAGGGACACAAAGGAACACTGTTGTCCCTTTATGATCCTTCTCAAACTCTATTCTCTCTCCTTTACACTTTAGTGGCTCCTGAAACATTGTGGTTCAGGATAGACCATCCGTCTCTGACTTTGAAGGCCAGTTTCTCAGATACAAGCTGTTTTCCAGTCCCTGGGCATGGGCATGAAATGTGGGCAATGAAGCATTCGGGACCCAGGGCCCAGAAAGAAGATGAGGCAACATCTGAGAGCTGCCTGTTTCCTTCCTCTTGCCTCAGGAGAGGAGAAATGGGTAACCATTCTCTGCTCATTCTCTGTCCTCAAGATAATAATGCACTACCTTTCTCTGGGAATATGAAGGAAGGCAGTTCCCTCAGGATCTCCGTAGGGAGATTTAGACATTTTCTCATCTGGGGAAGGTGTTTATCAGGAGTCACTGACTTACATGTGTATTGGTATTGTATAGGTGAGATTAATATGTGAATTAGATCCAATATAAGATGCAATAGAGAGGAGTAGGAACTGTGACAAACTGAAAAGTTCATCCCCTGTCTAAAGGAGAATCTACCATTCAGTTCCAGCTGTTTGTTACCATGTGAGAATATTCAGTGTTTCAAGATCTTCTGAATTTTTGAGAGAAGCCAAAAATCTGGATCTTTGTATGAAATAGTATTAAGCTCTGGCAATGAGTTCTAACAAAAAACCAAGCCACAACCACGACATGGAGGTCAAAAAAACACACATCCCATAGGCTCTCAGTTTATAACCTGATGTTGACTCAGGCTTATGCATGAAGGTCTATTACTTTTCTATCACTGTCGTAACAAATCACCACAAATTTAAGGACTTAAAACAACACCCATTTATTATCTCATCATTTCCATAGATCAAAAGCTTTGTAGGCTAGGCTGGATTTCTGCTTAGAGTCTCACAAGACCAAAATCAAGGTGTCGGCAGGGCTGTATTATTTTCTTGAAGCTCCAGGAAAGAATGCACTTCCTTGATTATTCAAGAAGATAGAAGAACTCAATTTCTTGCAGTATAGGGCTGAGGTACCATTTCCTTGCTGACTGTCAGCTGAGGGCCATTCTCGGTTTCTAGAGACCACTCACATTCTTTATCTCGTGACCTTTTTCCATTTTCAAAACTAGCAATTGTTGGTCGAGTCATTTCCATATCACATCTCTCTGATACTCTCTTACTCTTCAGCCTCCCTATTCTGCTTTTAAGGACACATGTGATTACATTGGGCCCACCAGGGTAATCTCTTTATTTTAAGGTCTATAATCTTAATTACACCTGCAAAGTGCCTTTCACCATATAACATACACAGAGGAATAACATTAGGAAATGAAGATCATGAGGAAGGGTGTCAAAATCCTGCTTCCCTCAAAGGGTTTCTCGTTCTCTGGAGAAATTGACTCTTTTCCCCGATCCACCACCAGGTAGCCTCAATCTGATTACCTGATCAACCTCAATCTGATAGCCTAATGTAAGTATGTTTCTCAACTGTGTCACCTCAGCCTGGTGCTAGGTGCTCTGGTCCCCAGGGAGGGAAAAGGGAGTGTTAGCTCCCAGACCCTTCCGCGTCTTGTGCTCAGAATCAGATGCCTTGCTGAGAGGAGCCCCTGCCTTTGGGTGACCCAGTGGCTTTCTGCTTCGAGTTGCAGGAGTTTTGCTGCAGTTTGAGGCTGACGAGGCAGCAGAGGAGGAATCTCTCTTCCCCATGCCACCTGGCCAGGAGACCGGTCCTGAGTCCCCACTGAGTGAAAGCATCTTTGAAACCCACCCACTTAACCCCATCCTGGATGACGACTGCAGCTCGACTCATGGCTTCCCCACACAGAAGTCTTTTACCATGGCCTCCTGTACCTCAGAGAGCCACTCCCACTGGGTCCACAGTCCCATCGAATTCACAGAGATGGACCTGCAAAAGTTTTCCAGCTCTGCCTCCTATACTAGAGCTGAGACCTTTGCGGGGAACACAGCTGAAAGCTCTGGAGACAGAGCTGGATCTCAATGTGCCCTTTGAAGTCCCCAGCCCTTAACTCTACTGAGGTGAGCTGAAAAGTTAGGGCAGAAAGACCAGAAATTGGGGACCACCCCCAAAGAATCCTCCTCTGGAATACTGTTGTTCAGTAGGGCTTGGCATAGAAGAGCAGCAAGCTAGGAACACTGGTGGATGGAGGGGATACTAATCTTTTGATCCAGTCAATCAGACATCACATTTCTGGGCTCACAATTGTCAAGGAACTGGTCAGGTTGACATGACACCAGTCCCTCTACTCTGGCCTTTTGCAATCTGTCTCAGGGCCCCACTGTCTAATAGTTATATTCAGTTATCTCCCTTCATGTGTACAATCATCATGGCACAGTGAAAAAATATACAGCCTTTAGCATCTGGCAGCCCTGTGTGTCAAATCTACCTCCATTCCTTAATAGCTATGTTAACTTTGTGTAATTCTCTTCACCTCTCTGAGCCTCAGGTCCTTAACCTGTAAAAAGTAGAAAGTACTACACACCTCATAAGTTCTTGTGAGAGTTGAATGAGAAATGCATGTGCAAATTCCTTTTACAGTGTCTGATGCATTAAAGCTGTTTAAGTCATGTTAGTTCTTCTTTCTCTCCCCCACTCCAGTCACAATTTACACATCCTTCCACATCCACTACACTCATCAGATTGTCATAACACCCCTTTGTGATAAGCAGGTCAGGGTTTGAAAGCCTTATTTTATAGAGGCAGGAACTGAGACACAGAGAAGGAAAGTGATTTGCTCAAAAGTCACAGAGCAAATCAGTGGCAGAACTGGGCTAGAGACCAGGTTTTGGGGCTCCAATCCAGAACTTGTCCCATTCTATCAATGTGACTATTCCATAGACAATGTTACTTTTCCAAAGGCTTAAGTAGTATGAGGCACTATGAAGCAGGAGAGTGGGTAGATTTCTTTTCAACTAACCAACTACATTTTACCATTCATTACCATATTTCTCCAGCTAAGATATTGCCCAGGTTTCCCAATGACTTCACCCTCCTTATATCCTACTTAAAAAAATGTGAACAATATGTTGATGAAAGCCGAGACTGCTTTAAAACCAGTTAGCCTAGATACCTTCAAGGTCATCTAGTCCAATTTCCCTTCCAAGTCCTCCAATCAGTGCTTGAGTCTCTTTTATAATATCCCCATGAAGTGTTTGTGTCATCCTTTCTGGCATACTTGCAGTGTCAGAGAGCTCACTATTGCCCAACATGTATTGCAGCTATGACTGGTGACTTTGAGCTCAATGTAAAGAAAATCTTTCTATCTCCCTATAGTACCCACCCATGGTCCTAGCTCTGTTCCTTGGGCCACACAGACCTCATCTGCTTCCTCTGCCTTGTGATAGCCCTGAAGAGGTCTGAAGATAGCACCTCCTCTCTGAAAAGTATCACTTTAAGGTCTTTTCTTTTTTTTTTAATTTTTTGTTTATTGCAGTAACATTGGTTTATAACATTGTAAAAATTTCAGGTGTACATCATTGTACTTCTATTTCTGCATAGATTACATCATGTTCACCACCAAAATACTAATTACAACCCATCACCACACACATGTACCCAATTATCCCTTTCACCCTCCTCCCTCCCCCCTTCCCCTCTGGTCTGTCCCTATGTGTTTGTTTATTGCTGTTATTATCTACTACTTAATGAAGGAAATCATACGGTATTTGGCCTTCTCCCTCTGACTTATTTCACTTTGCATCATGCCCTCAATGTCCATCCATGTTGTCACAAATGGCTGGTCTTTTAAAGTATGTGGGGTTTAGAACTGAACCCAGTTTCATGAAGAATGGTCTCACATGTGTAGAATAGGGTAGAACTGTCATCACCCTAGCCAGATGATATACTTCTGCTATTGTATCCTAAACCATTGGTCTAAACCATGTTTTTTGTTTTGAGGAATGGGGAGAGGATGGAGCTAGTGAGATTGTCCCACAGGTCTCTAACTTGCTCTGCTCCCTCCGTAGGTCCCTTGGGCTCCTGGCAGGCTTCCCCAGTCTGCTCCCTGGACACTCATGCCTTGTTCCTATGCCACAACAGCAGCAGGAGCCCAGGATGTGGTGTCCACAACAGCCAGTACTCTACAGATGGGGCACATCCTATCCCATCCCACCAGCAGATTGATTCTTCATCATTTTCCCAAAGCTGACCTGCAGCATTTTCTGATTCCCTATTCTAGCTAGCCGGGAAAGCCAGATTCCCCAGCCATGGAGCTACCAGACATGTTACTAGCTCAGCTTGATTATAGAGAAGAGAGGAGGGGATGTCAATGAATGGGGTAGAGTTATACTGCCTGCATCTTTGGCCAGGTGGACCTGAAGGAGGGGTCCCTCAGTACTCCGTTGATATATGTACCTAGTAGTTTAAGGACACAATTAAACCCTTCCCCTTTTAGCTCTTCCACACTGCCCTTCCCCTAATACACACGCACTCACACAGACACACACACACACACACACACATATCTTAGGAGAGACCTGACACCTTGATTCCCCACTTATCTCCTAGACTTCTGTGGCTGTGAGTGCTCTGAAGCAAGCCCATTTGCCAGGGTCTTCCTCCCCACATATAGTTCTCTACCATTCTTTAGTGGGAATTCAATTCAGTGTCTTTTTGATCTTTAAAACAGTACTTCCTAAAGTTCCTTTCATTTTTATTTCTCTTCTACTCTTACCTTTTTTGTCCTTTCCTGGTGCCTTGTCTTCTAAAGCCGAAGGCTGAGTCTCTAGATCCCCAGGGCCAAACTCAAAGCTCAGAGCTTTGGTCTTTGGGGTGACAGTAAAGTTTGTGAGATCTAATAGGGGACACTCAGGACCTAAAGTTCTCATTGAAACCTGGCCCTAGGGCAGCTCAGGGACCATTGATTCTTTCTTAGTTTAGAGAAAAACCAACCAGTTTCTGAGCTCTCACCACCAGTTTCACACACTTCTCAGAATGAAATGGAACTTCTCTCTCCATGACTGATGGCACAGGGCAGATGATAACCTCAGGGCTCAGATATGAGCATAATGGATTGTTTTTAAGTCTCCATTATGCCCACAATAGGCCACTTGGGCTGATGCCCACTCTCTCACAGTGGGTCAGATTTGGAAGGAAGAAGTGCTCAGATGAGTGGAGCAACTGTCTCCTTTGTTTGGGAGAAGCCTATATAGTCCACAATGTTGAATGTGACTTAATTTGTAAAAGCCTGGACTGGGGATAGGGCACAGTTATCCTGGGGTAGGAATGCTGGAATTTACTACATATATGAGTGCTGCACTTACAGTTTGCAATGTATGTTCACAGCCATCATTCATTGGATCTTTACACAGACCCTGAGGTGGGCAAGGCAAAGATTACCATCCCCAGTTTGTAGATAAGGAAACTGAGGTCCAGAGATGAAAAGTGACTAGACTTAAACTGCTCAGTGATATAGGGGTCAATAGCAAGGCTAGGGGTCTCTGCAATGTCTTGAAATCTTCATTTTCTGGAAGACAGTGTTTTGGAGTATGAAAATTGTGGTTTTCTGGCATATCTGTTCTAGAAAACAGCTCTCTTTGGAAGGAAAAAGTGTGGAGAAAAAAATAAGGCCCTTATGTCTGAATGTGAGTGAGATAATGTCCTTGCCTGCTGTACCAAGCCTATCCTATCCCTGCCAGCTCCCTCACCCCCACCCTGCAGCCAGCCTAGATGTACATTTTCTGCCAGGCATGTCTGAACCCAGTGGGAAGCTAAGAGACTTCTCTTTCCATTCAGCGCTGTCCCTCAAGAGGTCAAAAAATGAGAAGGGCTGCAAGGTCAGCCAAGACTCTTTTTAACTGTCTATCTTATCTCCTTTTGTTCCTGGAGCATCAAGAGAAGGACTAAAGGCTGGAGCCAGTAGAAGCATCCATCCTACTTGTCTTTCCCCTACATTCTTCTGTTCAATTGAAGAATCTCTGATCTGAATTTGAGCAAAGACTTGAAATTTTAACTTTATTTAGAGGTGAGATTGGGGCAATTATCCCACCTTTAAAAGCCTCACCCAGGTAAATTGCAGATATTTGAGCAAATCTGTCAATTATACCACTTCAGTGCTTTGCGGTCTAAAAAAGTTCTTTTATATATTATGCCTATTTTAAAGATGAGGAAACTGAAGCCTAGACAAGAGTAGTAACTTACCCAAAGCAATCAATATTTGGGGAAGGCAGCCTGCCCCACATGCCTACCCCTAGACCCCAGCGTGGATTCCATGGCTGGGAGTAGAGGTCAGGGAAGGGCAGGAAGAGCAGAAACTGCTCTTGGCTATGGCAGAGGGACAAGTAGGGATGTTGGAGTGTACTGGTTATTTCTCTCCATTAGACACTCCCTAAATAACCCTTAAAAGATCACTAAGGAGCATAAGGAAGAGACTTAGGAGATTGATTAAGGCAGCTCATCCCCACCACCAGGAAAATCAGCTCACCCCATAGTCTGTTAAGTCCTGTTGAGGCAGCAATGTAGTCTTTCATTGAAAAATAGCACATGACTTTATCTGCATCCATGATGGAGAGGTTTGTTTTTGCTTTTCTCTCCCTGTAGTTCTTATCTCCTATGGCCTGTAAGGTTTACTCTGCCTTCTACAGGTCCCTCTAGACTTACTGTACTCCCTGGGTCAGCTGGAAGTTCTTATGCATGTTTGAAGGTCAATGGTCCTGTGTTGCAGCATAGGACAGGGTAAGCAATTTCCCTGTGGATCTCCTGGGCTTCACCCTTTATCTGAGGTGCTATAACTCTCCACCTCCAGCAGGTAGCAGGGCTGGAATTTGCCCTCTTGGAACTTTACATAGAATTTCTAAGCCAAGTTGACCTACCCTCTGGGGCCTGATTTCCCCAAACTACCTTCCAGCAGTCCCCCAAAGATACCCCCCAATCCATCTAGGGACAGCTCAGTAGGAAGAGGAAAGGAGCCCCACTGCCTCTTTCTATTGACATGTCAATTGGATCCCAACTCTCCCACCACCCCTTCCCATTTGATTCTTTCTAAAGTGTGTTTTCGCTTTAGCTCCTACCTATACATCCCATGACCAGGGAGAAACAAGTTCCTTGGAAGCTGTATTCTTCTTTATTATTTGGTTGTTTTTCTGAAGCCTATACAGCTAGTTCCTGTCTCACAAGTGCTTGATGGTTAATTAATTACACTAAGCAGCATGTGAATTTGATCACCAGGTCCTAGCCCTGGCAAAGGAATGCTCTCTACAGCAAGCCTTTTGCTTTCAAAATTTTATTAAATGCGTCTTTGGGGACAGTCCGTCTACAACACTGATTAAGGGCTTCTGGGGCAACCCATTGATCAGGGTGCTAAAAGCACCTGGGAAAATGTATAAAGGTTCCATTGTCCTGGACTGGGGATTAGAAGCAATTGAATTATAAGTCTGCACCAAGCAGCCTGGCCTCACACAGGTATTAGCAAATATGTGGGATTCAAAGGTTTAAGCCTTGGCCTTTAGGTTCTCTGGTCTTTTCTTTCTGGGAAGATTCATTCCTAACTCATTGGCTTTAATTAGTCGTGTCTACACCTGGTAGGGTAAGAACCAGTACCCAAGCAGAAGATGATTCAACTTGAGCAGGCCTTACTTGTTCAAAGGTCACCATGTGCCTGGCAGTTGTTCAAGCCCAAGTCTAAAACTGCTTTTCTATGAGAAAGATTGTAACACAGTAATAATAACAATAATATAATGATAAAATGATACAGTCTGCCCTCTTCACTGTGGCTGCTCTAGACTTTATAATTTACAAAGCTCTTTTACACCCATGGTCTCATTTCATCCTCACAAGCCCCTGAATTGGGTGTTATTATATCCCTCTTAAAGAAGAGGAAATCAGCTCATATTAGATATGTGGCTTGTCAGGCCAGAGGTCAGTCTGGCCCATGTCTCCTAGTTCCCAGATGAGGGCTTTTTCCACTGCTTTAAGGCTTCCCCCTAACAGCTGCTTTGGGATGGTACAGTTACCATAGTGGCACTGGAGGCAACATTGCAGAAAAGCCATCAGCCATGTAACAGAATTCCCCAATGGTTTGTCCATAAACTTAATCACTACAAAGCTTAATGTGAGCCCCACCCAAGACAAAAACTTCCTGGCTGAAATGCCCAGCCCAGAATAGCTTCTTAACACTGACTTTTTCTGTAGTAATGAAGACACCAGCCTTGGTTGCTGGGGCTTCCTCAATGCACAGGTGTGCCAGCCAGGAGCAAGGTCCTCATAGTATGAACATTGTGTGACCACCATAAGCCATACCCAGAATCACCTTGGTTCTAACTTTCTTTCAGAAGTTCAAAAATTAGAGTTGGCCATTGGAATAGGGAAGTAAAGTTTTATTTTACTTTTTAAGTTGTCTTGGGTATAGGTGAGGCAAACATTGTTTTTTTTCTTTATAATTGCTGTTCAGCCATGGCAAATGTCACACTCAAGTGTTTGCTCCTGGAGAGTGCTTTTAAAGATTTCTTTTTCATTGTTTTTAAAGTATGGGCATCTTTGTTTGAGCACCTTGCTTTCATGCATCTTTTATACTTTGGGGTTATTGGTTCATGGAAGCACAAAAGACACTTAATAGAAATATTTTCGCTGTGCCTCGGAGCCTAGATAATAGTTGAGTTGTCTATGTTTGAACTAGTAAAAGAAAGTTGTTTTTGTTTGTAAGGGAGGGAAGGTGTTTGCTGGGGATGAGTTTATTTATTTTTTGGTTCACTATTTTCTCTTCTGTACACTTTGATTTAGATTTTGACAGGGAAGAGTCTGGGACAGTAACTTTCTCCTTCAAGGTTCTCAGACGTAGGTTAGGTAAGAATGTCAATACTGCAGCACCCTCTCCCCAACACACAGCACTACTATACTGGGAAGATAATCTCTCATGCTCCTAACCCCCTGCCTGCCTCACTACCAAGGTCTTTGGTGTTTTACATTGAATATAGATAAATTTTAATTACTTTCCCTTCATATTTCAGTTATTTATAGAGATGTTGTTAAATCTTGGGCCATGTGCATGTATGGCTACTGGCAGAGTTGTGTTTTGTTTCTGATGCTCTGGAAATATTTCTTATTAGCCAATAAATGTAAATACATCCAAACACCTTGTTTATTCCTCTACTTTCAAAGAACCAAGGTGCCTCATTTGACTGGTGTGTCTTTGCTCAGTGAGTACAGCAAGGAAATGTGTTTCTTATCAGTGGATGCAGCACTAGAGGTAGTAGGATTCACTGACTTGTCATCCAGGAAATCTGGGTTATAGTCCAAGTTCTCCTTTTATATTTTTGAATTGATTATGATAATTTATCTTCTCATCTGTGCTAAAGATCTACC